CAAGTGCAAGCATGAATCGGGGTCGGTCGCGTATGAGCGGGGTCCGCATACTCTTAGCCCGTGTACTCTGAGACCTTACCGTACTCAGTAAGGTAGAATACATGTGTAGTGATGTAAAATGGATCACTACGGCCCGTAGCACCGAGTGCAGTATAACAAAGAAATACGGGGACAGAGGTTAGCACACCGTGCAGTACCATAGTGGGTCACTGGGGGCGTGGTACCGGGTGCTCGCAAAGAGGCAAAGGAGCCCTACCGACAGAATAGGGAATAGCAGCCACTCCGCCAGCGCAGCGAGTAATTGCCGCATAATGGGTCACGAGGGAACGTGGTGAGGACTGCTGGCAGAGGGGGATGTGAGGACGAGTCACCCCGGCTCCGGGTGAAGCGCGTGATGGGCCGGGGTGAGGGGTAGGGGGAACATGTGACCGAGGGGACACGGGTAGTGCAGCCGAGAAGCTTCTGGAGAGCTCCTGAGGGGGGCGTGGTTAATGGGCGGAGCCGGGCAGGTAGCATTTGTGAAGTTGTCGGGAACCTTCGGGAACATTCGAGAAGGGGGGCGCGGCCAAGGGTGGAGCCAGGTCGCGCCGAGAGGGATAAAAGTGGGAGCCCCGATTGCATATCGGGGCTGTCCGTGGGTGAAGTGGAACCGAGATGCTACGTCTTCGACATCGTGGGTCAGACAGCACGTGGCTGCTCTGACCCGATTGTAGTTATCCCGTATAGGAAAGAGATAGGAGTATTATAGTCCCGTGGGTAACAAGAGTGAAAGACAGGCGTATTAATCCCGTGTGTAACGGTGTCGTGTAAGGTGTAGAATAAACGTTGTTGCCTCCTAATAGTGTATCTGAAATGATTTACTACACATGTTTCATTGGGCCCTTACCAGCGTTTCCAGCAGCAACCCCACGAAACATGTCGCCTGAAATTCTGCCTTAGGCAATTTTGGTGAGGGCACAGAGCTCGACCCTGAAAAGAAGCACACATGTAACAGTATGTTAGGACAACCGGGAAATATGGAGTACAATTCAAAACATGAATTAGAAGCGAGGCACTGGTTAAGATCGTGTCTCTTTGGGAAGATAGCCATACAAGTCATGGCTCGTAGCGTACATTTTTATACAATGGCTACTTCTAACTCATCTTTATCTTACTTCATTGGTAACAAAAAAACACGATGCCATTGCTAACACATGACAATACATCAATGCAGTGCAGAGTCTACATGTTGCAATACATGTTACACAACTATATTTAGAATGTTACAAACAAGCTCTACTATTTATAACACTGTATGATACAGTAATGCTGGGTAATGATAATGATGATTACAAGGTTAATGACCTTTAAAAGTAAGTTTTCCAGGTCCTTAGCAATTGCTGGACTTAACCACATTCCGATGGCAGGGTTAGATGATTCTTAATACAAGTGTTGTTGACCTCCCACCAATGTGGCAATTCAATGTTTTATGGCCAATAAGTCTGTATTTAATGGTAATAAACTCGTAGTCTTACACACCTGTCAATGAAATGAGCTAAGTCCCAGCCAATGTTTGTACTTCTCCCACAACTACTGATGACAGTGCTAAAAGTGGTTGTGCGTTAGGCAGATTGAGCAATGCTTGTGTAGCAACAGGAATAATTATAGTGCTCTATTAACTGGTGAAGGCCGAGGTGGTGGGGGGGCAGATACTGGTCATTGAGTTAAATGCAATGTATGGAAGAGGCTCTGTCATTGAGGTGACAGTACTATTAACAGTAGTGGTCATGATAGTAATACTGTATCGTAGCGTGACAAAGGGATGCTCTGCTTGTAAGGCGACAATAACAACTGTGATATGTAATAATGAGACTGCATAGTTGAAGTGCTTTTAGTTCTATATTGCCTATTACTGTTAATAAAGTTATATTAAGAGTAATACGCAATACATTAATCCAAGGTAATACTCTGCTAACGTTGAGATACCACCAGTTGCAGTTGGAGGCTTGCCCCCCACGTTTCTCTCTGCCTGATGATTACCGCTTGTGTTGCGATCGAAACGTCGTGAGTGTTTGGTTTTGTATTAATTTATTATTTGTATTTGATTATTTTCTAACTACGTCACTTCACCGAAATAACCACAGAATATGAATTTCTACTGTAGAGGTGAGAAATAAATACAAACATCGATGCACGTTATGGATAACCAGGTGAGAGCCCACTCGAACAAAGTGTCTTTGGGGAGCGAGACCTACAATTGTATGATAGGAGTTAGAATATTAAGAGTAACATGATACAGTTACATAAATGCTGAACAAATAATAGGCGCACCATTCTACATTAAGCCTGGGGTGGGTCTCTGCTGACGTGACATGATTAATTATAATCATAACAAGAAGCAATAAAATTCCTGTACGTTAACCACTGCTGAAGAGACACACTAGCTAGAATAATGTGATCATAAGAGCAATCAACGATACAAGAACCAACAATAGCATCAAGGGCAATGCCAAGATGCTATCGAGGGTAGATGCTGTTTGCTTTGATAACGTCTTCGCCACATTCCATAGTTGCTTTACAAACACCTGACGTTCAATGTTGTAGCACATTAAACCCAAGGGAGGTCCTTTTGATAACTACCGCGTACTTTTAATGTACTCATCACAATGACAGTAATACGTGGAAACAATTGGCTACGTACGGTGCTAAAGAAGTTCAACACACATACATACTTTTAAAACTTTAAGCCATATTTAAGCGATATGAATGTAAGTTTAACTAAACAGTAAAAAAAAAATACCCAATTGTTAGCACTGTAGAAAAACAATAAGCTTAATACCAATTATAATAAACTATCATCGAAAGCAATAACGCTATACAGTCCCGAAGGCCATGTTACAACGCTTCTGGCAAAGTGATGTTAATGTATTTCTATACCAATATCAAATCATCGTGAACATATACAACTGTAAAAGGAACACCCTGGATCAATGTTAATAATGTACTGTAGTTTTAAGTGGTAACATTAATGAGATAAGAGTACCAATGTACTTGGACCGCATTAAGCCACGGTATAACTAAACATCGTAGTCAAGTTAAATCAATCTAGTTATACGATCTCAGCGGTAATGATGCTAAATAATACATACTTCTGTCGTGGTGGTTGTGAAAAGAATATACTCCAGTTACAAGACAAACAAGTTATAATAAACAACAATAACACGATCAATGCGAACATTTTAAACCAACGCCAAGGGGCGTGAATACACTTTTATTTAACAAACACAGGCCCTGTAGTAGCTTGACTACACTAAGCCACGGCGAGTCTGCGCTCGTTAATGTAGTTACAGACAAAACTTAACAAATAATTGCATTAAAATCGGCGAAGGAATTCCATCGCTCCCGCGCCGAGACCCAATCTCAAGGGGCGAAGCCTGCGGCTTGCCTAGCGGCGGCCGCCGCCTCCTCTCGCCTAGCGGCGGCCGCCGCTTCTCGTCGCGATGCGGCCCCCATCACCTGCTGGCGTCGGTCGCTCCCGATCCAGCGCTGTCCCTGCCTCTCGCTTCTAAATCACCCGATCAACAAAAACAACAAATAGTGACGACGACAACGATGAAACAATCCGTTCGGATCGGCGACGAGCGGCTGCGAGCGGTAAACGCGGAGGTGGCAACGGCGGCGACTTCCGCGGTTGACGCGCGGGGTGGGCGGGGTCGGGGGTGGTGACGCGCGTGCGGCACTGCCCACGTGCCCGTCGATCGATGAGTCGTCGATGAGTCGTCGGTCGGTGAGTCGTCGATTGGCGAGTCGTCGATCGATGAGTCGTCGGTGAGTCGTCGGTGAGTCGTCGCTCGATGGGTCGTCGATTGGTGAGTCGTCGATCGATGAGTCGTCGGTGAGTCGTCGATTGGCGAGTCGTTGATCGATGAGTCGTCGGTGAGTCCTCGATCGGTGAGTCGTCGATCGATGAGTCGTCGGTGAGTCGTCGATTGGCGAGTCGTTGATCGATGAGTCGTCGGTGAGTCGTTGATCGGTGAGTCGTCGGTTGGTGAGTCGTCGATCGATGAGTCGTCGATTGGTGAGTCGTCGATCGATGAGTCGTCGGTGAGTCGTCGATTGGCGAGTCGTCGATCGATGAGTCGTCGGTGAGTCGTTGATCGGTGAGTCGTCGGTTGGTGAGTCGTCGATCGATGAGTCGTCGATCGATGAGTCGTCGGTTGGCGAGTCGTTGATCGATGAGTCGTCGGTGAGTCGTTGATCGGTGAGTCGTTGATCGATGAGTCGTCGATCGATGAGACATCAATCGATGAGAATGTACCCACACTTTATCCCACCTGACGTGGGACGCGAGTGCGCGGCACTGCCCACGTGCCCGTCGATCGATAAGTCGTCCATCGAGGAGTCGTCCATCGAGGAGTCGTCCATCGAGGAGTCGTCGATCGATAAAGTACCCACACTTTACCCCGTCCGTAAGTGGGACGCGAGAGCACGTGCTTCCGCACCAGCCGCATGCCCATCGATCGGTGAGTCGTCAATCGATGAGGAGCCACCCACACTTTATCCCACCGCACGTGACCTGCCCATCGGGAGATGGAATCTTAATCAAGTCCAGCGCGTGCTAACAATTTACACCACCATAGTAGCTAACCTTCGTTTCTAAGGTACAATGATTGGGGGGTTTTTAACGGTATGTTTATTGCTAGACATTGTGAAATGTGCGACAAACCGGTAATAATTTTTACCGTTTATGTGTTTCATGCGGTTATCCATAGGACTAGGATGTTCATAGGACGACCACTAGCTGTAGACTCTACACAAAGTAGTTAGTATTTTATAGACCCCAGAAGTATGATGGACTGAGTTGTACCCCAATCCAGGATTTTAACTTTCAACCTTCTGATTGCAAGCTGCTCGCTCTACTACTGACTGATCTTGCCGATTATTGTCCAGGCTTAACAATGCATTGTTAATACCTAATTTACAATTCATAGAAACAGTACAATAATTCGTTAGTCTTTTATTCGTCCATTAATTTCCAGTTCATAATTTGATGACAATTCCACATTCTGTAATTCATTTCAAGTGCCGTATTAATAATTCGTCCACACGAGTCAACCATTATTCAACAACACATAATTTACCGATATTCTTTGACTATTCATTTGTCTATTATCTTAGTATCCTTCAAAAGTGGAAAATCCATCGCGTTTATTGATATCAGGATCAAGGACCGCATCAAGGCCAAAACCATTGATGCAACCACCACCGACACCACGCCTCGCCAACGCTTTCTCCCCTCTGTGAGAACAGGTATGTTGAACAAAGAGTATGTTGAACTTTTTTCGCACCGTACATAGCCAACCGTGCAAATCAGATATGTGGGTGCAGCTGCTGCACCGTAGAGACACGCGATCTCCATGATCTGCTCTGACAGTCTCCCACCATCTATCCGCTCTCAGATCTTGCCTTTGGTCGCCAGAATCGTGGAGACCACTCCCAATTCACCAATTGGGGCGCAATCAATTGGTTATCATCGGTACACAATAATCAACACATTTGGTACACGTATTCGGTTCAATCGTGCACAATTCATCATAAGGCCACCTTTCTTCAAACCACCTCGTCCACAATTAACCGTCATCGGTGAATGATTTTCGGCAAGTGCCAACGCACCTGGTCATGCATTTGCACCACTGACATTTTTTGTTACGAATGAGAGGTTTACTGCCTACTTTTTTTACAGGCATGAGAAAGACGCACTGAAGTCAAGATATCAAGGCAAGACGAAATAGGACAGCAAAATAATTTCAATGAGTGGAATTCATAGCACAAGTTGTGCATTCTTATATTTTACCAATGGTCTCATTCCAAGAAGTGCCGTTATTCTAAATATTACTGTAGTATACAAACTGCACTCATTAATTGTATCGTTATATTCTGGTTACTACTTTTGCACGGTTATATTGTTTGGGCAAAAGTGGCACCATAATGTTTGTTTCACAAATGCCTACCCAATATTTCTACAGAACCATTTAAAATCAATGCGATCTTTACTTCGCTTTAATGCCTGCTAATGCTTAGCTAATATATGCCTTCTATTATAGGTTCATCATTTTATGTAATATAGTAGTGCACTTAAATTATAACTCAGAGTTTAAGGCAGAATGCATTTAACTGTGATTTTTTTTCTAGGCACAAAACCACGACAACATAATGCTCTATTTTTATGAAAAGCAAGTTTTGCATATATCCAGCTGATTGTGTTATAAAGTGTTAAAAGTTAGGTTATGGTTTTCATGAATGCCGTTACCATGTTTTAAAATTAATATCTATAAATACTACCATATAGCTTCTACAGAGCTCGTTACATTTATGTATTGCTTTCAGTTTTTGTAGACAGTATTGCAAATCCTTCACGTTACAGTTCACCGAACAATATTTGGATGGATTCCTTAAAATTATAATAACGTTTAAAAAATATATATGCTGTTTACAGAAAAGCATTTCAAATCACAAAATGCATGACACTACATTATTATATATTTTTGGCAGAGCAGTAATGTATATTCAAATAATAATCATAATAAGAATAATCAGGACCACTTAATAAAAAATGTTTAAAATATGTTCAATGTTAACGAGGCAACAAACTGTAATATGAGTAAATACTTATACACAAAGGTATTATCAGTTATATCCAGGCCTATGTTCAATGGTTACACAACATGGCAACAGCTGAGTTTATGCTACACAAGAGTACAGTCTAAATAGCTTAGTGCAGGCTAATTCCATTTGACATGATGACCTTCTGTCGCAGTCTCATGAGGAGTAGATACCAAGGGGAGGCATAAGAAGCAGAGGAAGACAGCGGAAGGGATGGCAAGATGAAAATCGCAGTTTGGAGGACACTACTGAAGTTGAACTCAGCAACGGAAGGAATAGAAAACATTAAGGAAGTCTTTTGACCAGCGGTGGGAAGTTATATGCTGACAACGACAACAAACAACAACAAATAAAGCCCAGGGGTCACATTTTATAGTCAACTGACCAGAGGATTAGTTCGTCAGATCGTTATACTGTACCTTGGAGATCACGTACATGCACCTGAATCAGAGAGAGTTTATACCCTTACATTCAGCTGCTATTAGACCCGTAACTTCTTCTTGGTTCTTTCGGTAAAGTCACGTAGAAGGGAAGTAATAAAATAATAAAAATAAAACATAATAAAATAATTCTCACAACGTTTCGGCCACAACGCAAGCAGCCATCCTCAGGTGAAGACCAGGTCTGTCGGGGAGACAGCGTCTGAATGAAACACCACCACGCTTGGAGCGTATATTTAAGGGAAGGGCGCCTTGACAAAATAATTTGCATATCTAGAGGAATTTAGCATATTTATGGGAAATGCAGGTATGTGATTAGTACTACTTGTGAAATGCGTAGGAGGTTTGGCGGGGGGTTTCAAAGTCATATTATGCCCGTGCATTATGCAGGATTAGCAGCATCAAAGGGAGGGGATAGGGGTAGCATTAATAAAAGGAAGGAATGTTAATAGTATGTAGCTGCAGTAACTAAACAACCACGTAAAAAACTAAAGTATAAACTACATAGTATCATCAGCTTAAATATACGCTCCAAGCGTGGTGGTGTTTCATTCAGAGACCCGTAACCTGCATGTGTGCCCAATCTCACCAGAGCACAGAAGCTAAGCAGGTGCTAGCCTGGTTAGTACTGCACAAGAGTGGAAGACTGCCGAGGAATGCCAGTGGCATGTACGCTCGGGCGAGCAAGTGGCCTGGTGGTGGCAGCACAGCAAGCAGTTCTTGAATATAGCTGTGCGGTGCTTTGAGTGTCGCCTCCTCGTTCGCGTGAACTTCATCTGGGGGTCTCCTGTCGTCCCACACCTTTGTGGAAGTGGGTACAAAAACAAGTGTCGGCTTCAGATTCAGTGAGACTTTCCTTGACAAATAAAGATAACGCTCGAACATCTGTTGACGGATTATCTGGACTGTAGATAAAAAAGAGAAAATATGGTGTTATTGCACTCACTCTCCGCCTTTGATTTCCCAATGCTCCACTGGTTCTATCATTACACTATGTAACACGATTTTTGTCCCTGGGTAGTAAGTGTTATTTTTTAATTGCTTATGCCTAAAACGTATAAAAAATGGCTATTATTCCCCACAAACTTTGCTTTTGTGACCAGGACTTTAAGTGAAGGAATTACACAAATGCACACGTTTTCTCATTGAAAATACAGTATATCACTGTCCTGGTCGCAAAAGCAAAGTTTCTGGGGAATAATAGCCATTTTCTGTACTTTTGAGGCATAAGAAATTAGGAAATAACACTACCCAGGAAAACAAAATTGTTACACAGTGTTATTAATCGAGTGGATTATCAACTTTGCTCTTGTGTCCTGGTCACAAAAGCAAAGTTTGTGGGGAATAATAGCTATTTTCTGTACTTTTTTGTTACACAGTGTTATTAGCAGTTGCTCACCCTCGACTAAGTGACCGCTTTAATAAAGAAAAAAGAAAACAACACGACCACTTCCACCTCTTCACCCCCATTATGCTTAAGTAAAACAATCAAATGAGATCTTGCAGTCTATTTTACATCTGATTTGCATCATCCATGTTTTGTTTAATCCACGCTATGCCCCTCCCCCTTCTACCAGAAGTCCATTTTTGTCTCAACCATTGCGGTGTTCGACACCACACTGGAGGTCACAGCACTGAGCCCATTCTTTCCATGCACTGCTCGACTTGGGAATTCCCTTCCCACCATCGTCTCTTTTCCCAAATCCATATAACCTTTTGTCGATCTCAAGAAAAGTGTCACACGCGTATCTATTACACCTTCGCTCATGCTGTTTGTTGGTGGCTGTTTTGGTATTTCGAGCCGTTAGGCCAGTTTTTGGGTTAGATCGCAGACGATTAGTAGGGGTTGTCACATAAACAGAACATGCCAATTTGTTACTAGTACAGCACACCGGTGTGTTGGAGAGAAATCCACAACATTTACAATCTGAGTACAACATTTACAAGTGTTTAACGCCACATTCATTTTTAGGCAATCTAACCCAAAAAAAACTATGTCATGGATGATATAGGTCGCGAAAGCCTAGACGTTAAACTATGATACAAACAAAAATCCCGGATAATCGAGATTTGACTGTTCCAGGATTTATCGTTGTTATTTTCCACGAAACATTAGTGCAAGCAAATTCATATCGGGTGGGGAGATAGATTGGCCATGACACCTCTTCAGTAGCAGCCACGAGGATTGCCACCTCTGTGGTTCAAAAAACAGCACTTATCATGGGAAGGGGAATATCTCACGTTATCGTAAGACTGGAGAACTACACGTAAATACATTGTCTCGAGTGGTATATTCAGGGAATTGTATCAGCCAAAGTTACCTGGGGCCGAACTTTGCAAACTATTTCCTCCCCCTCCACTCTCCCCACTATTGGAGCGCCCGGTGGGGGGGGGGGGGGGGTCTGCAGGGTTTGGTGGGCCCTAGAAAAGATTCTATTGGAAATTAAGACCCGGGCATGTTATCATAACCGACAAAAACCTGGACTTCATGTCTCGAGAAGACTTATGGAAATGTCATGACAGCGATGTCAAAAAGAGGATTATCTTGGGGTAAAAAAAGAGGATTATCTTGGGGGGGAAAAACAGGATCGGGGGTGGCAACCCTCGTCGTGGCCATCCAACGTCCTTCGTCACACAGCGGGACCGTAGCAAGCCGGCGGTCATCTACATCAACCCATGCTCCTCCTCCTCCTCCCCATTGTTTGGGTCTGCTTGTTGGATCTGGGGCCTTGTGCAGAGGCATATGGGCGCGATGACGGCGTTGGGCATGGAGCGCAGGGAGCGCAGCGCCAGCAGGCAACAGCCACGCAGCAGTGTGGGCAGGCCGTAGAAGGGCTGCCCCACGGCCACCCCGACGGCCGCGCCAGCCTCGGCGCCGGCGGCCCCGGCCGCCGTGCTTCCGGGCCGCCGGAGGAACCAGGCGACCGTGGGCAGGATGGGCCCAGCGAGCACCAGCGTGTCCAGCAGGGCGCTGCTGCTCCAGTAGCTGGGCTCGGGCGCCTCCGCATGGGGGCAATCCTCGGCTGCAAGCGGAATATGAGCAGAATGTGGGGGGGGGGGGGGGCACAACACGCTGATCCATGCGGCCAGTAACAAACAGCACCATCACCGTTTAATGCGTAGGCTTTCGTAACTAATAATATTCAAAATAAAGGGTTTTTTGGATTAGATAGCGTAAACATTAATGTGTTGTTAACCGTGGCACCTCCCGACACAGTCAATTCTGGCAAATCAACTGATGAAGCTGGTGGTAATCACCAGCGAAACATTGTACTCAAATTGTAAATGTTGTGTATTTTCTCTCCAACACACCAGTCTGCTGAAGTAGTAACGAATTGGCATGTTCTGTTTACGTGACAACCCCTACTAATTGGCTGCATCGGGTGGTGACGGGTTAACGACACATTTATATTTACTCGATCTAACCCAAAAAACCTTTACTATGAGCGCTATCACAGTTGTAAAAAAATAAAAAGTTAATGGCATGCCTCAATTTACCAATGTCAAAAGAACTTGGGCAAATAGACAACAAGATGGTGTTTCAAAAGTCGAGCAGTGTAAGGAAAGAAGCAGAAAGAGGAGTGAATTTTACACTCAGGCTTTTGGACTTCCTGGTTCTTGTCCAAAAGTCGCTTCGCGTGATTTCAAGCGAAACGTCGCACCTAATTGCTATTTGCGACAATTGGTTCGTATGACAGAGATTTGTCCTGATCATTACATGACCTAACTCATAGTTATATGTATGCATTATTTATTTTAAAAAATATGTAAAGAATCACTCAGTACAGCTGTAAAAAAACACACGAAAATGACACGGAGACTAATAACAAGAAACCACAATGCATGTCCTTTGCAGAAAAACTAAAAAATTGGAGACATCCTTACCAGCTTCCTCAGCCAATTCCACAAGGCTCTGAAGGCTGCTGTTAGAATGGCTGGTTACCAAGCAGTCAACCGCAGCGTTGTTGTTGTTGATGCCCACTGGCTCGGCCTGTAAGCCGCTCTGAAAATTATCCGAGGTCAAACAATTGCAGCACTCCACAGAGGCAGCGGCTGAGCTGGCAGCGGTTTGGCCCATCCGTGCATCTGCACCTGTAGCAGTTGTCTCCACAGCTGACCTATCAGACACCTGCACCACCGTTTCAGGGTAGCAAGCGCCAGAGTCAGACTTTGCGTCGAGTGAGCCTCGCTCTTCCGAGGTCAGGGACGACAGCGACTTCCGCATTTCTCGGTTGCATTGAAACTGCAACAACTCTATGGCGCTTTCCCTGAGTTCATCTTCTGCACGTTCGCCATCGGCTATGGAGGATGCATTCGCCTGCGACCATTTGTGCAGCTGCGAGAGGATCGGGCTGGAGGCCTGAGATTTGAGCACCCTCGGGTCGGGCGCGTTTTCACCCGTGACCTCGTCCGTCTGCACGCCCTCCTCCTTGCTGATCCTCCTGACCCTGTCCACGTCCACCTGGGAGAAAGTCAGAACGTTCTCTTCCACCGGACTCGCAATGATCAGCTTCAGCAGCGAGTGCTGAGACTGCGTCTTTGGCAGGCCCTCAGCCGACTGCACGTGAATGGACAAGGTCGGCGGTTTGGAGTCGCTGAGCATAAGGCTCAGGCAATCCTTGGACGTGTCCCGTGAAATGCCGGGGCGGACGTTGTCGTTGCACGCGTCCACGGTTGCGCCATTTTCTTTGGTTGCGTGTTTTTCCAACGTCCCCTTTTCCGCCTCGGCGTCCGTGTCCGTGTCCACGCCGTCGGAGCTCTCGCCTTCATCCTCGGAGCCCTTCGTGAACGCGGAGCTGCGGGTAGCCGACTCTGGCGGCGACGAACCCTCCTCCTGCCCCTCCCCGGCTACGCCATTCTCCGCCGCCTCCTGCCGCTTGAGCAGAGCCTCCAGCTTCTTGTTTTGGATGTTGATGTCGATAAAGTACTTCTGCACGCCCTTGCCCCCGTCGGGCTCCTTGTCCACCAGCATGTTCTTCATCGTGTCGATGACCGACTTGAGCTGCTTAATCTCCTTCTTGGCCTCCTTGAGGGACAGCTGGGCTTCCAGACGCTGGTACTCCTCCTCCACCCAGTCCTCTTGCATCTGGCCCAGCTTGAGACGCAGCTCCTCCATTTCGCCCTCCCTGCGAGCGAGCACAACGGCGGCCAACATTTATGGCCACATTCGCCGGCCTCTTCTCCTGAGCAATTCCCAAGGCAGAGCCGCCTCCAATTAGAATGACAGCACCTCCGATTAGCACGGCTGGCTACGTGTTGTACGAAAGAAGTTCAATGCATACGTACATATACAGGGTGCTTTAAAAAAATGTTAAAACTTCCGAGAATTTGCAACAATACCACAAGACATGTGCCTTCGGGCTCTGGAGACCACCTGAGAAGATTACAGACAATGATGATGAACAAGTGGAGACTGACTTTTTGAAGCTATTAACATACATTTGTTATCATGTTACAGTGTATTATCCATTCTTTTCCATTAAAAACGATAGTCCCATATAAGTGTTAACATTTTTTAAGCACCCTGCAATTGTTTGATCACGCCGCCGCCAGCATTGGAGCGTGATAAAACTCACCGGGTGTGCTGAAGTAGCAAGTAATTGGCACATTTTGTTTACGTGATGAGCCTTACCAATTGGCCTTGTCGGGTGGCGGCGGGTTTAAAGACACGTTAATATTCACGCGGTCGAACCCACAAAATAAAAACCTTTGTCGTGAATAACATTTGGTCGCGATAGCCCGACGCGTCAAACCTACCAGCGTAGGGGCCCTCTGCTCTAGGGTGTTCTGGAGAGCCCCCCGAGTGGAAGCCATTTTGGCCAGTGGTGACGCGAGAAAGAAACCGCGGGGCTGCATGTTCGCCGTTCACGAGCGCGTATTGAGATGGGACGCTCGTTTTGGGATCAGGGCGCCTTTTGGAGAACAGGGGTGGGGTGTTGGGGTGGGGGTTTCATCACACTGCCCTCTTACCTCTCCTGCATGAGCCTCTGCGAGTCCTTCAGCTTGGCCCGCAGGTGCCTGATGGCCACCTCCTTCTGCTGGAGCGGCGTGAGGTACGGCTCGGAGGGCGCTCTCATCCCAGACGGCTCCACGGAGGCGGCTGGCTTGGACCTCCTGCAAAGCGAAACGTTCGTGTTGTTGCACGTACGTCAGTGGCGTAGCCGGTGTCGGGGGCAGGGGGTGCCTTGCCCCCCCCCACCTCTTCCGCCGTGGTGGCCAAAGCTACGAGTTGGTGGGGCGCCCTTGGCAACCACCATGAGATATGTTTTGAACAACTTCGTGTTAAAAGTTTTTGTTTACCTTAAAGAAAAAGAACATTGGACGTAGAACTCCGTTTCTGGGATATTTATTTAATTAGATACACGTCAATTATATGGCAAAGAGGTAACTATGGAGCTGTGGTGGCTGCATTTGGCGAAGACGGAGCTCCCCTACAGCGTTACATGTTCGAGACCGTGAGCGTAATGATGATGTGATTCGGCAAGAGGAGCCGTGATTTAGAATAGCCTGGGTGCAACCGTGCGAGACAAATCAAATATTGGGGCCTCACCTGACCAATTGCCGCACCCCCTGATCTGATAATCTCGTCACACCACTGATGTATATATGTTGAACTTCTTTCGCACCGTACGTGGTCAAATGTGCTAATCGGGGGTAAAGGGAAAGGACAACAAACTAAACACAAAAAGTAGTTCTAAAGAAATTAGTTTTCAATATCGTTTTAAGAGTGTGTGGCTCCAGTGGCTTCCTAATATCGGACAGAGGAGCGTTCCAGACGGCCTCAGAAGCGCATCTGAAAGCGCGCGATGCGGTGACTGTTCTTCTTGCCACGGTGCGTTCCCGGTAGTGATCAGTAGGATTCAATTATACAAGGGAGACTCTAAAGGTGATGCTTCACATTTTTCTGAGGAGCTTTTCATCAAACCAACACAACATGATTTGAGTTGACCTCTCCGATTATTTAAGTAACCGATCATTCTACCTCTGTTACCACGTGTGTGCCGCTGGATGGGAGTTTAAGGGGGGGTGGGGATGCTTGGTCATGTCATTCCGCATTATCAGCCATCAGCCACGTCACGCTGGTTGTAGATTGTAGGGGTTTCCTGCCTTCGGTAGGCAGGTTGTCAAGGCAGCCACCATTTTTAAAAGTGATCAACCACAACTAACGCAGTCGATTACAGCGTTTAGCCAATTAATCAAGTGAGCCGGTCGTGTTATTCATTCATGTGAATGTCATTTCATGGACGTGTGTGTGGCAAAATCCCTCCTCATCCTCCCCAAAAAATGGGAGGCCACACACAAGCCTGAGAACATCAGAGGCCATTGTACAACATGAGTAGTCTTCACTGCCCCACCCACCAGAGCCCAGATCTGGCACCTTCACACTTGAATCTGTTTCAGGTCCCTTGAAGGATGGTGGCTTGGCTGTGTGGGTGGGCATCGTTTTGACAACTACGCTGCTGTACAGGATGCTAATTTGTAAATGGCTCTGCGATTCAGATGAATCGTTTTACCGTGATGGAATGCTCGCCCCTAGTTCCAGGTTGGCGCAAGTGCATAGACTGTGTTTAAACCAAGCCAGACATTCATTACATTGCCATGGATTCATATCTGGCCAGGTACACTAGCACAGTGCAGTACTATGATAATGCAGTGGAGGCTGGATAAAAGCACATCTTATATAGGCATGGCTCTGATATGCTCGACGCACGCTTACATTACACTGGGGAGAGGAGAGGCAAATGGCAACTTCTACACACTACTTCGAACATAAGCACAGCTGGCCTTCCTGCAAAGGGTATTTTTTATCTACCCTCTCCTGTACTGTATCGTATTGCATATTGAGACGCTCAGTAACTCAAAGTACAGTAGTAGCATTGCGAGATGACTACAGGGACTCCTCTACTTACGAACACTCGACTTACGGACTTTCAGAGATACGAACAAACCTGTCCGTATGTCTGGTTGCCTGTTTGGACCGAGAGTCGTAAGTTCAACCGCCGCACAATGGATGGCGGTGGTGCCATCTACATCTGCAGATCGTGAAGAAGCAGTGGCATCTATATCTACAGGAGATTATACAACTTTTAAAGCCATTCCCCGTGTTTAGTGTGCATGCCGTACAGGAGTAAAGTTGGACTTACGAACAAATCGACTTACGAACAGATCTCTGGAACCTAACTTGTTCGTAAGTAGAGGAGGCCCTGTATAATACGCCTGCGTCTGTACATACTTGGCGTCGTCTGTACTTGCATCATCCACTTATTTATCCCACCTCTTGTTGTGCCGCTCTCCAATCTGCGGAGCGCTTCGCCCGGTGCTGTTCGCAATTCGGAGACAAACGGCGGTGTGGTCTATACCCCCGCCTGAATGCCAACGTTTATTCTCTCTTGCTTTCGGTTCTCTAAATCAGCTCCAACGCTTCTTCGTTATTCCATCGCTTGACCAGCCGTGTATTTAGTTATTTCTGCGATGTGCAGCGCTCTGAGTGCCTTGCACGTAGGCACTTCGTAAATGCAATTTTTGTATCATTATTATTGTTAACGATTTAAAATGTTTTAACTATGATGATGACGGCCTTGTCTTGTATAAGTTACCGTTAACTGTACCACTGAGCCCTTCATGTTGGCTTGTGCTAAGGCTCCTTGTCGGGTAGCCATTGCGATGAAACCCAAAACTCCAGACTTAGGCGAATGTAGTCCCATAATGGGTGGCTTCTAACAATCTCAGCCATTTTTGTTTGTACATCTGATAAGGTCAATTAACCCCAGGGATTTGGAACCCAATCAATACATTAGCTCACCTTTCATCACTCAGGACAATGCATTCACCGTGTAATTTTCCCCTCTACTAGTATTGTGACATATTCTTATTCCCATGTATATGTCCTGCTTGTTTTGTATTTCAGAGTTAGCAACCCTAGTGGTGAGTAATATTAGAAGCAGTGGGCCTCCCCGAGATTCGACTCAATCTTAATCAAAGGCGTTCTATAAATATAAAATAAGATAAGAAACGAGTACCTGGTGCAAAAAAAGACGAAGGCAAGCCGTGTGTGGTGGTGCTGGCAACACGCAACTTAGCAATCGCACACAAGGGCCCCGTTTGCACCACCAAAAAAAATCTAAACGTCAATTTAATCCATCAGCCTATCCGCCAACTGGACCAGCAATTGCCAGCAGCATCCGTCTGTCAAAGTCTAAAAGGTGGGGGGGGGAGGGGGGGCAATCATTCTCTTCCATTTACCTGTGTGTGGGGCTGCCCTCTCCAGCCCGGCTGTAGGAAAAGTTGCTCGTGCAGCCATGGGACGGTGTCCCCGAGTAGGGCCTAGGCTGGGCGGCGGTGGCACCGCCGCCGCTGCTGCTGCTGCTGTGGAAGGGTGCCCTCTTCCCCGGAGACAGGAGGGGCTCCGGTGTGGCCTGCCCAGAGCCGGTCGGAGTCACCACCGAGAAGAGGGCGCTGCGACTCTGCGCACACGACCTGCGCACCGCACGTGCAGACCGCGACGACCATCATTCAGAGGGGGGGTTGTGACTATTCGCCGCCAAATCGCACGCCCTGGCCCCCATCCCCTGCAGTAATGTATTTTTTTAAAGAGCATTTGTTACTCGCACCATTCTACGCACTCGACCAGCGGCGCAACGCGTACGGATCACGCCGCTACAGTTCATCGTTACCAGCGCAAAAAATACTGATAAGAGACTGATCATTGTGACAATTCACCCCCACATCACACTTCCTGGCCCCTATCCCCTGCAGTAGTAATACTAAGTAACTCATGTTCAGAGCATTTGTTACTTGCACCATTCTGATGGCACAAGGTGATCACGAAGGTGCTATGCTTGGCAGTCGTTTCACAGTAAGGAGGGAATGTTGCTACGTGTAATTTCAATCGAGTAATTTGGAAACATTTTCAAGTCGGTAAATGTGGACCATGGTTAACGAAACCCGCAGTAATAACCACGGCGGCCTGCCGGATTCGAACCACGCACCTATCTGAAGCATAGCAATTCATAGAAGGGGTCATAGATTCTATTCAAGGTCATGATTCCATTCATTAATCATTCAAATGGATTCTCTCACATTGCAGCAAGTGTAGATAGCTCTGGTTGTATGGTCACGTGAGCGCAGTGCGGATGTTACACATGCAAATCGATGTATTGTGAGCTTGGAGAATCGATATTGCTCCACGGATCGTTAGACCCCTCGAGTTACAAGAAGTGCTTGCATTATGGTCACAAACACACTGGGGTAGGGATTACACAGGGAAGGGGGCGCCACGGTGGTGAGATGTTAACTACCTCGCCTGGATCGTGGGTCCGATCCTGACCCTGACGCGTGTATGTTTGGAGTTTGCATGTTCTCTTCGTCTGCGCGTGCATTTTTATCTGGGCCCTCCGGTTTTTCTCTCCACATTTAGAATCAACATGCATTTAAAGTATGTTTAGCTGCTATAAATGTCCACATGGGCCACTTCACTGAGCTATTATTTGTGGCCAGGTCGCTTCTGAAAAAGAGCTATGCAGCTCAGTGAGCCTTACCTGGTAAAATAAAATAAAATAGTTGAAATCGTTGTAGTTTATAAGGGAGACGCTTCACTCTGCTTGTCTCCTTGCTTCGACAAACCATCGTAAAACTACAAAATTACATCCACATGTTCAATCTCACAGACTTCTCACAGCCGAAAAGTTATTTCTTTAAAGTATTGCTAAGGGGCCGTTCATTAATGACGTTACGCGATTTTGGACGATTTTTTACCCCCCCCACTTCGTCACACGGCGTCACAAAAAGTCAGACCCCCCCTCAAATATGACGTTACAAAGCTCTGCCCCCCCAAAAAAAATTAAACATGCTTCAAATCGCTTTAAACTATTGTCATTGTAGTGCGTATTTAATGTGCCGGTGCACTCTGATGTTGTAGTAGAAAACATTTATTAAAAAGTCTATTTAATTAAGTACAACGTGTTGTCTATATTTAAAGTTGCGCATTTTGATGTGACGTCACATTTCTCAAACCCCCCCCTTCCCCCTCGTCACACATTGTCACAAATGTCTGACCCCACCCCCACCCCCCTGGGCGCGTGACGTCATTTATGGACGGCCCCTAAATAAATGTTTAAGCCCAACAGTGATGAATGATACACTGCAATGTGGCACAGCTGAGGTCGCAAACGGGTTTTGATTCCTTACCCGTACCCGTACCCGGCCGCACCAGGATCGCAAATGGGTACCCGTACCCTACCCGGCCGGGTACGGGTTCCCGTTCCCTACCCATACCCGTACCCTACCCGAAATGAGTGACAAACGGTTACTCACCAGTGACTCACGGCCTACCCGTCCCCGTACCCGGCCGCACCAGGGTCACAAACGGCTACACGTACCCGTACCCGGCCGGGTACGGGTAGCCGGGTATCGGGTAGGGTACGGGTATCGGGTACCCGGTTGTGACCTCTGTGGCACAGTAAGAACAGGGACACGGGGTGTCCGATTTGAAATTGACCTTGAGTCACACTGCAGAATCTGGTGGTGCAGAATGAATTAGAATTGAAGTGGTGACATTGGTCGTACGAAGGTGTGAAATTACAAACGTTTCGCACGCATGAGTAAGACATTTCTAATGTTTTGGGGTATTTTGCATACATTACGGGAGTACATCAAATTTTCTCTCAAGGATGGAAGCATTCGTTTACATTCTCACGATATGGCTAGCGGAAATTACGTGACGTTTTTTTGACGATTTATTTTCTTTCATTATAAAAAAAAAAATTACGCGATCTAACCCAAACAATCCTTTTTCTTATTTACCCGAACACTTGAGGTTGGGAGGAAGGGGTGAAATGGGGAGACGGAAGGAAATGGAGCTCAACCACAGGCTATCAAAATCATTATAATTAAAGGTGATCGGTGCTTAAGCTTTGTCACAGTTATCAGGCCCTGAAAGCCAATTTCCTCCATAATCGCACATTCACATCGCGGAAAAAAAACACTCTCCATATATTGGGTACGTACAGTGCTTAATTTCAGTCGGAACAGTGCGGAACATTGTTCCAATAATAATGTTGCCACCCGGTAACATTCTATCTCACCTTGTGTCGTCCTTGTGATACTCCGTAGAATTTCTATGAACAACATCATAGGATTGTAGGAATATGGGGTAGAATAATAAGTTATGGATAGGTTCGGTTTATCTTGAGCTCGACTGGTAGTGCCTTAGACCGATAATCTCGATTCCAAGCCAGCATTGCAGCATTCCGGAAAATATCGAGGAAGAAATAAAAAAACACATGAAACTCAACAATTTTTTTTTATTTTAGCAGGTAAGGTCCACTGAGCTATACAGCTCTTTTTCAAAAGCTACCTGGCCACAAATGTATAGCAGCCAAATGCTCTAAACGCGTGATTTCGATTCTAAACGTGGAGGGAAAACCCTGAGGACCTGGAGAAAAAGCCACGCGACCGCAGGGAGAGAGACAAGCAAACTCCAAATACACAGCAGACGTCAGGGTCGGGATCGAATCCACGACCTCCTGCATATCAGGCGAGGTACTTGATATCTCCTAGCCACCGTGAGTGTCTACGGTGACGCGATTAATCCATGGGTACAAGGATCAAAACAATACAAATTTCGATTTAAAGCTTTCATGACTGCAGGGATTCATCTTCTTGGTTCTTTCGGTAAAGTCACGTAGAATGAAAATAATAAAATAAAACATAATAAGATAATTCTCACGACGCTGTCTCCCCGACAGACCTGGTCTTCACCTGAGGACGGCTGCTTGCGTTGTGGCCGAAACGTCGTGAGAATTATCTTATTATGTTTTATTTTATTATTTTCATTCTACGTGACTTTACCGAAAGAACCAAGAAGATGAAATAATACAAAGTTGGGCAAAGCTCTGTCTGTTGTTGTTGCTGTGGGCAAACAAAGCCTCCCCCCCCACATGGCATAGCTCCCGAGGAGACAAACGCTGCCACTGCATCTGAAGACGACGCAAACTGAGCGAAGCGCTCGGCTGCAATAAGCTCCATCCGTACCTGAGAGACGTCCGCCGGCTTCCACTCGTGTTGGACATGGTGGTGCCCGGGACTGCCGCTCAGCCACCGCCGCCACCAGCACCCTGCTACTGCTGCCGCTGTGTGGGGTGGCACGCGGACCCCGCAACCGATCCGCGGTGCCGCAGTCTCCGCTTTCCCCGTCACAGGCGGTCTGGACAATGGAGCGTCCGTCAGGTGAGCCGCGAAAAGTCCAGGTGGCACCGTCTCAGCGCTCGACGCCTTGTTGCCGGAAGCCCATAGCGCACCTCCAATTAGCGCGGTTGGCTACGTAGGGTGCGAAAGAAGTTCAACATGCAGTACATATATATACAGTCACGTTTATAGACAAAACTCATGGGCGTATGACAAACAGGGCTAGATTAAGTTTGAGAGGTTAGCTGTGGTGGTGAGTGGGGGGGAGGCCCTCTTGATGATCGCAGCTAAAATCGACCATTGTATAACATGTGTACAGTCGAAGTGTCCGCTTTCCTTTCACGACCACCGAACAATGAGTGTCAGGTGAGCCGCGAAGCCAGGTGGCACCGTCCCAGTGCTCGACGGCTTGGAGCCCAGAGCCCATAGTGCAACAGCCACCTCTAATAGGTGAAACCCGTGGACTTCCACAACGTACGTATGACAAACAGGGCTGGTTTACGTTTGAGAGGTTATCCATGGCTGTTACAGTTTTTTCGGGGGACGCATCTTGATGATTGTAGCTAAGACCTGTACTGTCTAATATCTGTACCGTCGCAGGATACCCGTGTAATGGAGCCTAACATCGTATTGGGCCATTCTTGCTGAAATCAATGAGGTTTAATCTATCAATCTTTGTCATATTCAAATCTTTATTTTACTCTTTTGCCACCATCAACACCTGATGGCGAATTTATTTAAGTTAAAGATTTCAGTGTAATATTGGTCTGGAATTCCAATAGACCGATGGGCCTGAAACCCATTTTAAAAAAATCATATATGGAGACATAGAATGGAGTTCTGCTTATTATTATTATTAAATCACTTGCGTGCCCAGGATAGCCTCACTGCGTCTCAAGACACTGCTCCTGCTGTGTGTGTCCCAATTGGTTAATTTGCGGGTACATTTTTCAGCATTGCAAAGTTTGGCAAATTCCAGTTACCCTCGATGTTAATTTGAGCCATGGGTGGAATCCGCAGAACATGGAGAAAACGCGTGCAGAACAGTTTGGAAGAACATTCGAACTCCACGCAGAAAAGTGACCGAGTCAGTCACCTGACCCAGGAACGTCTTGCTGTGGTGTTTAAGTGCTACCACTGGACCACCTTTATGCAGCAATACCCCGACTTGCCTCTCCCCCCTTTTCCGTCGTTTCGCAAATGCGTCGTCACTTTATTATCAACACCGCCAGCCGATGTGTCGCCTCAAACCCCACACTGCTGGAAATCGTTGAGTGCAGCCGACGAGTTGAAATGAGTATTCGTCATCATCGTCGCCGTCATATATCTCGTCAAGGAGCATGAACCATCATCGCGCGAACTCCGTGTCGTCCTCGCAGCGGCGGCTTTCCGCTGGCCATCGAGCACTTCTGTGGCCGTCTGGAACGCTCTTCCTTCCGATATTAGGAAGCCACTGGAGCTATGCACTTTTGAACCTAGATTGAAAACACATTTCTTGAGAACTGCTTTTTGTGTTTAGTTTGCCGTTCTTCCCCCGCACCTACGATCAGCACGGTTGGCTACGTACGGTGCGATAAAACTTCAACATATGTACATAGATCTGCCATGATAAATCCACTGGCGAATGAAGGTTTACCCGAGCCATCTCCATCTCCCATGGCCCTGACATGTAGACAATCCAACTTGCTCCTGTACATGAGTTGCTTTGATCCCTGCATCTTTGTGTTTGGTAGATCTCTCAGGCGAGTTCGACTCCATCGTCCGGCCCAAGCTTACTCGCTAGTCTCGATATTCTTTGGGTTTTTCGGTAAAGTCACGTAGATAGGTTCAACGAAAATAACAAAATAACAAAAAACTACGACGTTTTGATCGCAACACAAGCGGTTGTCATCGTCATCGACCACTTGTGTTGCGATCGAAACGTCGTAGTTTTTTGTTACTTTGTTATTTTCTTTGAACCTATCTACGTGACTTTACCGAAAGACCCAAAGAATATGAATTCCTGCAGTCACGAAAGCTTTAAGTCAAGATATAGCCACGAGTCTTGAGTCAAAAATTCCTTCTTTAACCCGTGTACTGTATTTCACGTGTCCCCCTTTCTGTCTCTCAACGTAATTGCAAGCATCCACCCCTCGATGCTTCCTTTGCGCGCGTTGTCAGTTTCTTGCGTTGGCTTTTCTTTGTTGTAATCTACGATACAAGTCTCAGGACACTTCTTCCTGGGGCGGAGGGCAAGGGGTGTCACATCGCATGACCATGAGAGAGATGGCAATGGCTTGGGAAAGGGCCTTCATCCGGCAGCGGATGATTTTTCACGGCCGACGATGACCGCTTTGGGATGTTAAGCCAATTCAAGGAGTGCTTTTTGTGCGTGTGGGAGGAGAACAACCCGAGTAGCTGGTAGAAAGCTCACGCACACGGGGTACTCAACACACACCTGCACAGATATGCTCATATGCCAATTTGCTGTACTGCCACATACTCGCCACCTTGCAGCCCCGAGGAGTTTGCGAGTTTCACAAGTCCATGTGTGTACCACCAACCCCCCTAGTCTCGAATGTGCTGCCGCTGGGTTGCAGTCGTGAGTTCGGCTTGGGAGCTCAGCTGTCACGCTTTAGGTTCATGAACACGCTTCTAAAGCTGCACCACGAACAAAGCAGTTAAATACTCTTAGGTTCTTTCGGTAAAGTCACGTAGGTAGAAAATTTATTAAATTTAATCACGACGTTTCGGGCGCAACACAAGCGTCCGTCATCAGGTGGGACAACCACAGCAAGAAAACAATTACTGAAGTGGGCTGTGGCTGTCCCACCTGATGACGGACGCTTGTGTTGCGCCAGAAACGTCGTTATTTTATTTATTTTATTTTATACCTACGTGACTTTACCGAAAAAACCAAAGAGTATGGATCCCTGCAGTCACGAAAACTTCAAATCTAAATTAAAGCAGTTAAATGTTGGCGGTGCATATCATTGTTTTGGCAATGCCTTAATAATAATCATAGGTTGCCGCTCGACAGTAATTCGATTAAAGTAGAAGGAAAAGGTGCAGCCCTGCAAAATATTGTGAATGACACTGTTGGCGGAATGGCATCCATATCGTATTTAGCCTCCTCTTCCATGCTGGATGAAAGAGGTGAAAGTGATGTACCCACACTCTACCCCACGGCACGCAAACCCGCCGATCGGCCGTGGGTGTGCCCGGTTTAACATTGCTGGCTGGACAGAAGCGGAGAGATTTAATTCACTTTGCCCATCGGTTTGCGGAGAGTGCGACTGACGACCTCTGGTATTGCAAGTCCATTACATCCCCGGCAGCATCCCCCTACTCGATTAAATTAGTTCACATATTTCCCCGGGGACTTATAGAGCATGAACAGAGGATTAATCAATCACTGGACGCGAACACAGGCAGGGCCTAGAGTAGACAGAGTTCACTGGTGTTCACTTATGTTGAGTGATTATACAAAATAAATACGATCCATTAGATGCGAGCTTTTGCCGTAGTGCTTCGATTATGAGACCCACTATTTCCCAACCCCCTGCGTTTCAAAGCACGCGTTGAAACGGCGCGACTCGCGTGCAGTTCGGAGAAATGAAAGGAACAGGGACACAATAAAGAGAGGAAGAGCTAACGGAGAATGTCTTGACGAGGATGCAAAAGATCGGTGCCAGAAATTGGTGGCAGGAAGATGTGCGCTCTCCTTGAGCAATAATTGGCACACGACGCAGGAAAGTGGAAACGAAATACGAAATACGCAGCGGACACCGACGGGATATCTGCCCATGGATCGTGTTGCTGCTGATGATCGTACAATAGTGCGACTTCCAATCCAAGAAGTATGTGGGTGCGAGACCAGACTTGTCTAGATTTAAGTTTAAAAGACAATGCATAAACTATCGGAGCCGGTTTATTTGTTTGCATGTTCACCACGAGTATTTGTGGTTAATGCAGACATGATTCCTTGCAAAGGCTTTCAGTTTGGTGTTTTAGCATCTTAACACAGCTGTTTAAGTGGCAGAGATGGTAAATCCTATTCTTATATTCTTGGATCTTTCGGTAAAGTCACGTAGAAGGTAAATAATAGGACGCTGTCTTTCCGACAGCTCTGTTCCTCAACTGAGGACGGCTGCTTGTGTTGTGGCCGAAACGTCGTGAGAATTGTATTCTTTTATTATGTTTTATTTTTATTATTTTATTATCTCCCTTCTACGTGCCTTTACCGAAAAATCCAAGAATATGAATCCCTGCAGTCACGAAATCTTGAAATCGAAACCTATTCTTATATTTTGATACTGACAAGGGAGGTCTCATGAATCGGACTTGTGTAAGTTTATTGACACCGAGCACAAGTTTGTAGTGCGTATTACTTTCTGGAGCGTCTTGCGATCGGGAGAATACGGTACCGTCATGGGGGATGTGATCAAAGGGAGGCGTTTGCAGAATATAAACATTGCCAACAATGCAATTGTCTACAATGAGTAAATAAACGCGTGGACGTCTGAATACCTTTCAGATGCTTTGTGCTCCTATCGTGTTTCTGGATTGTTTCTTGTCGTTGCGACGTTCTGACCCGCTCCAACTGGACATCTGTGGAAAAGAGCTTTATCGCTCATCGGATTTCTCCAGTAATACATTCATATTCTTATTCTAAATAATCATCATTTTAAAAATACTGCCGGTTGAAGGCCTCCCCAACCTCTGTCAGTCATGAAGTTAATTTGACCATATTTCACCAATTTTCGCCTTCGTGAAGGCGATAGGGGAGACCCAACTCGGCTGATTATTATTCAGATGTCCCTCGCCACAAACCAACTTAGGTCGCAGGGTGCATAACACAACGAGCTAATAACCACTCCTACGTATTTAAAAGCACATTACAGGGATTGCAGTACAGTACTCAATTGGGAAATATTCGATCTGCAGCTTTTCATTTTCTAGTATTATACCCTACACAGCAAAAAGGGTATCATTATCCAAAATCACAGTGCTGTCTGCATATTATACGCAACTTAAAGCGAACTATATTTATAATCGGAAGTACATATTTTGTTGTATCAATGAACCAAAACACTGTTAAGAGAAAACAACCTGAGTCATGAATAATGTATTATTATTATGCACGGAATTAATAGGTTTGCATGGCTATAGTTACGCAACACCATGGCATTTACACAGTGTGCATGATGGCATCACATTGTTTTCTTATCTATCTAAACACGACCGTCTCTTTATTTAACAATGCCACATGCGGTATGGGGGGAGGTGGGAAGCACGCAGAATCTGAACATAACCGGACGTTGGGATTGACCTTTTCATATTATCACACACCCGCAGCACGCACGCACACGCGCACACAGAGGTGACGTTCCAGCTCTCTGCCCAACAACACAACAAACGTAACGACGGTGGCACGACTACCAAAACCGTGAACGCAAAGTGAACGGCGGTCAGCCACGCGAACACCCACCACGCACCTGCATTGCGGAGCGGCAGCCACCCCGCTTGCAGCAGCGGCACCACAATGGCATTAAATGTCTCTTGTCGAACACATTCGCGCGAAGTTAAAATACCCCCACCAAAAAAAAAATTGCTCTCTCACCAGCGGATCGCTTCGGCAACCCTCCTCTTTTTACACGATCGCTCCTCCCCATGCTGCGGCAATACTGGCCGTGACGTCGCAGGGCCAATTGGCAGTGTCTGTGCGTGCGTGCTGGCTGGGCTGGCTGTGTGCGTGTGTGTGGGGTGCCGTCAGCGGTGGTGGATGCCCGGGCAAAGGTAAAGGCACCGTAGCCCAAGTGGCCCAAGAGGTTCACAATATTGGATGCATGGTAAATATGTATTTTTCTTCTAGATTTGAAGCTTTTGTGACTGCAAGGATTCATATTTTTAGGATTTTTCGGTAAAGTCACGTAGGTAAAAAATTAAAATTAATGAAAGTAAAATAACAAATATTTTTCTTTATTTCCATTTTTTCCAGCTGAGACCCACTGAGCTATGTAGCTCCTTTTATGATGTATGTTTGGGTGCAGAAAGGAATCAGCTTGAATTAATATTATTTTATACGGGCTGCTTCAAAAAAATGTTAACACTTCTGAGAATTTGCAACAATACCACGCGAAATGTGCTGCCTGCGGGCTCTGGAGACCACCTGGAGAAGATTCCAGGCAATGTGTTGACAACGATGGCGAACAAGCGGAGACTCTTTGACTTTTTGAAGCTATTAACATGACATTTGTTATCATGTTACGGAGAATTATCAGTTATTCTTTTGATTAAAAACGATAGTCCCACATAAGTGTTCCCATGTTTTTGAAGCACCCTGTATATACTGTATATTTTAAAAACTTCATCATTACAATGGCACTATTAAAACATTAATATTATTTGTCATCACTCTGTTACCTTACTTATTTTGCACGACTGTGATTTTAATTTCGCAGCTCGCCCATGATATGCTTGTCTGTCGTGAGCAATGATAACACACGGTGAGGGTTCCAGCGGACTCGAATCAAACCTTGGTACCATCACCACCGGCAACGAACCCTCTGCTTAAACATTGGCACTGTGACCCTGGCACCAGGGCTTTGGTAAATCCAAGCAGGGGCTTTATTTATCATGGAATAATTTCTAGAGCCTCCCCAACACATAAACTGTCACCCCCCCCCCTCCTCCTCGACATCGGGTGAGCGGAGATACCACATGAACATCAATATTTTCCAAAGCTTAGCTGTCTTATGTGTTGTCGGATTATACCACGTGCTGTTTGGCATGACGTCTGACGTTTTCACTGCATGCAATGGGCGTTTCTTCACGAAGCTGACCATTCATCTCCTGAATATTCGTTTTTTTCTTCATGTGTTCCTCTGCTGTCATACATTTCGCTCGACATGCTGGAACCTTCTTCAGGAACTGAACGTGACTATTCAGTTCCCGGTGGAGAGATGCGGTCCAGTATAATGGCACTGATCAGCATGGAGCAGTGTGGTTCAAAAACCCAAATAACTTCCAAGGCGTGGGAAGGCCTTCAGCCACCAGTGTCCTGACAAAGTGCCCGTACATTTACCTTGTTATCCTGCATCTCTATATCTACCAGGAGGATGCGGGTGATCAGTTCGTTTACATTGACGCCGCGATGGGGAGGCACCATGACCCGAGGCAGCTCAAGGGGGCCCAATGCGTCATCGGATGAAACTTAAAACGAGCAACTGATTTCGAGCAGCCCTAATAACCCTGCTCGCCGATTACATTACTGTACCGCGCAGCCAGTAAATTAACGGATAAACGTGACATTACCAATTAGACTCTTCCCGATTCTCCCAGTAATGACTAATAGCCCTCTCAGGCACCCGTGTGATGATGAAGCTAATCACAAATGCCACCCTCGAAGTGGTCAGAGGTCATTTTATATTGACACTGGAACACAGAGGAAGCGCATCACCGCTTCAGCCTGAGCGCACCACCTTAAACTGGGCGGTTGTGGCGCATGCACCTGTGAATCTCGCCCTGTGGAGGTGATGGTTGGTGGCATCACACAAACGTGACGTAACTTCGCCAGGAGAAAGCAGAACAGCAAACGTGGACTCCACGTTCTCCATCCGTGCACATGTGGGTTTGCTCCGCGTGCTCCTGGTTTCCTCCCACATGTGAGCACTCATTCATTGGTCGTTAACACCTTCATGCATTGAGGACCGCAGATCTTGGGCAATTGTTGACGCAGGCTGTGCCTTCCTGCTCGTCAGCGGTTCCTCCCGCCTCTGAGTCGATCTCTTTCTTCGAGAGTGAGCGGAATACTGTGCAGCGTGTTACAAGGTGAAATTAGTGTTGCTTGTACTTCCGTGTTAGATCCAATGAACATAATGCAATCCCAAAATGTCATAAAAATTCGCCAACAATCACGTGCGTTTACACGTTTAATAAGCTCTGAGTTAACACCAGTAACAACTAAATTACATTTGTCTTAATGTTGGGAATGTTAAGGTGTTGCAACAATGTAAACTTTCAAAGCATCACACAATCATACAAATGGTTCAAACAATCAAAGTCATTATTATTGCACTCTGCCAAACAGCACTAACACTGCCCTAATTAGAAGCAAATATTCATCTGCAAATGCGTTTCCACCGCACTATGACATTTAACACAGTGTACTACTTCACAAGGCAAAACAAATAGCTACTATGGGTACTTAATGGAAACGGACAGATTTGGGATGGCCAGTACCTGGTATATGAATAACCAAATTGTTAGGATTTGGAAGTAGTTCTTGACATTTTACTACAAAACTAGCTAGTATGAGACTCCAAGAAAAATACATGCTTTACACTGTCAACTGCACCACACAGTATATCCATGTCAGACCTACTCCAATTTCACATCAGTAAGCTCACTTCATGTAAACCCACGCTTTCACCATGTATACAGCACCACGAATCTATAAGGATAATGAACGTACAGGCAACATAGAACAACATCTAACGTCTTTGCAAACTGTACGGAAAAAACCAGTGCCAACATCTATACATAAGCGATACACTCCAGTTATAATGCACTCAAATATCACCAAGGGCGATAAGCCAAAGTGAAAACTGCTACCTTATTAAATCAATTGGTAAAAGCATTAAACAAATTGCATTTTGCATTGCGCTGTCATTGTGCGTTGAATTAGTATATACATATAAACTATCTCACGTAACAATGTATTCGTACTATCCCTCTTATCCGGGACCATATTACCCCCGACTCCTATTATCGCAAAAGCTGTACTATCTGCCAAAAACCCATATTACCTGGAATTTTTTAAGAGGTCATCGGCAAAAATTAATCCCATTATCCGCAAAATATTTTCCCGCAGATAAGTGGAGAAAAATTAACCCGTAAAAACAAAGTTTTTCACTATAAATCTTTATATGCGTGGCGGCTAGAGTCCTCTCGTCCTCTGGCTTGAGATGGCTGCCACCTATGGGTCAGATGATTGCATGGCACCATTAAGCAATTGGTAATTAAATATAATATTTTTGTCCTAAAAAGTGTAAAATTTCGGAAAATTTTTTTCACGAACATTAATTGTCACGCACAACGAGTCTGTGTGGAAAATGTCAGCTCGATTGGATCACGGGAAGTGGGTTAAAAAACGACCGAAAGATTTGCACGGTCGTAAGCAAGCAAGCAAGCGCGCAAGTGAACTTAATATAAAGGATTTAAAAATCGCGGATAACCCCACAGATGTGTTCAACTCGTTTCTTTAAAACTGCTTTTGTGCTTAGTTTGTTGTCCTTCCCCCACACCCCCGATTAGGATGGGCGGCTACGTACGGTGCGAGAGAAGTTCAACGTACGTGCATTACAGATAATCAGATAAGTCTTCTTGGTTCTTTCGGTAAAGTCACGTAGAAGGGAAATAATAAAATAATAAAAATAAAACATAATAAAATAATTCTCACGACGTTTGAAGACGCTGTCTCCCCGACAGACCTGGTCTTCACCTGAGGACGGCTGCTTGCATTGTGGCCGAAACGTCGTGAGAATTATTTTATTAAGTTTTATTTTTTATTATTTTATTATTTCCATTCTGCGTGACTTTACCGAAAGAACCAAGAAGATGAATCCCTGCAGTCACGAAAGCTTTAAATCGAAATTCATGTTTTATTTGTATTATTTTATTAATTCCATTCTACGTGACTTTACCGAAAGAACCAAGAAGATGAATCCCTGCAGTCACGAAAGCTTTAAATCGAAATTTATGTTTTATTTTTATTATTTTATTATTTCCCTTCTACGTGACTTTACCAAAAGAACCAAGAAGATGAATCCCTGCAGTCACGAAAGCTTTAAATCGAAATTTAATCAGATAAGTGTTCATCTTCTTGGTTCTTTCGGTAAAGTCACGTCGAATGGAAATAATAAAATAATAAAAATAAAACATGTTTTATTTTATTTTACCGAAAGAACCAAGAAGATGAATCCCTGCAGTCACGAAAGCTTTAAATCGACAGATAAGTGTTGTTCTTCCCGAAAATGGCCGCGGATAAGAGTGACCATCTTAAGAGTGGGGTTTGCTCATGACCTCCTGTGCCCGTGAGCTTCGGTGCCACGAGCGTCAATCACCCAACCGCCGCCTCTCGCCGCCGTCATCTTCTGGGTGCTGAAAGCGCTGAGGCAGAAGCCGGACATGGCGAGGAGCATGGCCACCCAGTTGCCCTGACCCAGCGGAACCACGGCCAGCCTCTGGGTCGTCTGGGTCTACAAGATGGGGGGGAGAGGGGGCATAGCGCGCAGTCAACCATCGCACGATGACAGCTCGTGTACGTATGTATGCCCCGTTGGTAGCCAACTGCGTTAATAAAGCTAATGCATGTCAGTAGCTACAGCAACAGTTATTACATTCATTTGGTATCCTACACCATTCTTATAGCGCGAGGCTATACTTGCGAATGCCCTGTTTTAACAGACGAGTATAGACTGCCAGTAGGGGGGCAACGTTGCTTTGTGGTTTACCCAATTAGCCCTTTCCCGTTCCGATGACGTACGTGTATGAGTAATCATGACGTATGAGTAATTGTTCAACGTTGTACGTTTTGACGTACACGTACATCATGAAAACATGTGGCACAGTTTGGCGCCAGCTATCATAGAGTATGGTCGTGTTGCTACAGTTCTCTGCGGGGAGTACAATGTCTTTTAAAAAACATCGGCACTATGCCTCTCTCAATAAAATTAACGCTGAGCTGCTTTCAGAGATTCAGAGGTGACCAGGGACCCACCCT